ACAGCTACGTGACTGGTGAGCAACCGAAAAAATCCGCCTGGTCCGGGTATCAAACCCGGGACCTCTTCATTTCAAGTGGAGCGCTCTACCAACAGAGCTAAGCAGGGGTTAGACGTCAGTAGAACAGACAGGTTTTATCAGCCGCCACCAGTCTAACACCAACAACGCTGAAAGGCTTGCATTTTAAGGTTATAATTATAATGCAATTAAATGCAAAGGTGCGTTTAATTTCATTTAATTGCGGTCCCGCACCAGTCACCAAGCTGTGTTTGGAGATTTGTGTTTGTCCTTGGTCCCCCTTGTTCCCCCTCTCCTGGGATTATTATCGTCACTCTCTTAATTTTTTTTTATCTAGAACATTCTTTCGATGTAAATAAAATTAAAAAAAACTCGGATATACACATATTGAGTGTGACTACTAGGCACTGTCATAGCTTTATATCAGAGAATCCTTAGGCAGCAATGGTTATCTAAGTTGTTCAGAACTAACCCAACACCAAACTTCAGTCTTAAGAACTATCCAAACTTCAGACTTCCCAACTAGCTGACACGCCAAAAATATGCAAAGTGCCCGCCAGTGCCCCGTGACGTAAGGTGTCTGGGCGGTCAGAAGGGAGGCATCAACCTACGTCACTAAAAGTGGGTTCGCCGGAAGTCGCGTGAGTTTCACTTTTCGTGCTCTCCACGAACGTGTCTAAGACTTTTTTTTTATTATTGCCGTTTTTTTACGAGCGATCGTAGAAAATGAAGTTTCAGTTCCAATAGCTTTTTATCGCTGCACCGTTGGTTAGTTTGCGTGCTGTAAAACTTGATAACGAATAATCAGTGGATCGACGTGATGGAGGTCAATAATGAAAGCGTTGCGTGTACAAGCCAGTATACGAGTGCATGCCATCAGTCCGATGATACACAGCCATATTGGGCACAAAACAAGCTATCGAGTTTTGAAAAATAAATTTTAGAACGCTAGCAGATATTAGGTTTGCTAGCGTACGACACGCCCGATCGCATTGCTAAAGGTTCATACATCGAGGTCGCCGAATCATTGGATACTCTCCAGGCTGAAGATGGCTGCCGTCTAGGGAATACAAACTGTTGAGTGTACCAAGTACAAGTAAACATCGAGCATAAAGTACGTGTTTTGTCTAGAAGACGAGTAGAACTTGTTAACTAAGTTCCCTGACTCCTCTTTTTCTACCTTTGCAGCAACATGAGGCGATAAAAAGCAAATAAATGAAACCTTGTCTGCTTAGATTGCCTGCAGAAATGCGGAGAAATAACAAAAAACGAGAAAAAATATTACACGTGTTCGCGGTAAGCACGAGGAGTGATACAAATCACGTGACTTCCGGCTATGCCTTCCTTCTGACTGCCATGACACGTCGCGGTACGTTATTACGTCGCAGGGCACTGGTGGGGATTTTGAATTGGGCTTTGCATTTCTATTTTTTAGAGCGCAGCTCTTAGGGGCCCGTTCCCGGCTTGAGCGGCGTCGGCGTCGGCGTAACCAAGGTCATCCCAAGGTCACGTGGCCCCCAAGGTCATCCCAAGGTCACGTGACCCCCAAGGTCACGTGACACCCCAAGTCACGTGACCCCCCTGAAGTCACGTGACCCCCCCCCCGAGGTCACGTGACCCCCCCCCCCCCCCCCCCCCGAAGTCACGTGACACCCCCAGGTCACGTGACCAGCCCCAGGGTCACGTGACCCCCGCCGAGGTCACGTGACCTCCCCGATGACGTCATCGATGACGTCACCGGCATCCGCATCGTCATCGTCATCATCACTGATGACGTCATCAGTGACGTCATCAGTGATGATGACGGTGACGATGCGGATGCCGGTGACGTCACTGATGACGTCATCAGTGATGATGACGATGACGATGCGGATGCCGGTGACGTCATCAGTGACGTCACTGATGACGTCATCAGTGATGATGACGATGCGGATGCCGGTGAGGTCATCCGCATCGTCATCATTTTTCCGCTAGATTTAGCGGAAAAATTTCCCCGCTAAATCTAGCGGAAAACTTTTCCCCGCTAGATTTAGCGGAAAAAATTCCCCGCTTAATCTATCGGAAAAATTTCCCATCTAGCGGAAAATATTTCCCCGCTAGCTTTAGCGGAAAAAATTCCCCGCTAAGTCTAGCGGAAAAATTTTCCCGTTAAACCTAGCGGAAAAATTTCTCCGCTAAATCTAGCGTAAAAAATTCCCCATTAATCTAGCGGAAACTTTTTCTGGGGTCACGTGACCCCCTAAGGTCACATGACCCCCCCCCCCCCCCGCCCCGAGAACAGGTAACCCTCAGTACCCTTCCCTCCCCCTCCTCAAGAGCTGCGCTCCAATTCGGTGTTACAGGGAGTTGTGAACGGCTTTCATTTTTTTTATTTAAAAAAAAGTGAAAGCCGTTTACAACTCCCTGTAACGCCGAATTGGAGCGCAGCTCTTGAGGAGGAGGAGGGAAGGGTACTGGGGGGGTCAAGTGACCTTGGGGGGGGGTCACGTGACCTAGGGGGGTCACGTGACGATGACGATGCCGATGACGTCATCAGTAACGATGACGATGCGGATACCGATGACGTCATCAGTGATGATGACAATGACGATGCGGATGCCGGTGACGTTATCAGTGATGATGACGATGACGATGCGGATGCCATTGACATCAGTGACGTCACTGATGACGTCATCAGCGATGATGACGATGACGATGTGGATGCCGGTGACGTCATCAGCGATGATGACGATGACGATGCGGATGCCGGTGACGTCATCAGTGATGATGACGATGACGATGCGGATGCCAGTGACGTTATCAGTGACGTCACTGATGACGTCATCAGCGATGATGACGATGACGATGTGGATGCCGGTGACGTCATCAGCGATGATGACGATGACGATGCGGATGCCGGTGACGTCATCAGCGATGATGACGATGACGATGCGGATGCCGGTGGCGTCATCAGTGATGATGACGATGACGATGCGGATGCCGGTGACGTCATCGGTGACGTCACTGATGACGTCATCAGTGATGATGACAATGACGATGTGGATGCCGGTGACGTCATCAGTGATGATGACGATGACGATGCGGATGCCGGTGACGTTATCAGTTACGTCACTGATGACGTCATCGGGGGTCACGTGACCCCGGGGGTCACGTGACTTGGGGAGCCACGTGACTTTGGGTGTCACGTGACCCTGGGAAAGGGGTCACGTGACCTTGGGGTGACCTTGGGGTCCCGTGACCTTGGGATGACCTTGGTTACGCCGACGGCGACGGCGACGGCGACGGCGACGGCGACGCCGCTCAAGCCGGGAACGGGCCCCTAAGAGCTGCGCTCTAAAAGACTACGCAACTCTAAAGTGAAAAAAGAAAATTCGGTGATGTCCTGATACACTATATTAACGACTAGCATGAAAAAAAAAACTTTTTTTTTCCTGGCGTGTGAGAGACTCTTTAAGACAAAAGCCTTCAGGACTAGGCCAACACTTTTCTTAATGTAGTAATTGCGTAGTTGTGTTAAAGAACACTAAGGTCCTCAACAACAACAAAAAAATATTGTTACAAACGTCTAGTGTTCTAAGCATTGATGATAGATAAGCATAAAGATTGCTTTCGCAATATATCCGCTTAACTGGGGAACCAGAGTATAACGTTCCTATACCAGTCATTATTCTTAAGTGTTGTGGTTTTTGTAGCGTGAGCTACACTGGCCAAGGTTGAGCAGTTTCGCGTGGCTCGCATAATGAGCCGTGCTCCGTGCTGCGCAAGCGCGAGGAGCAGTGACGTCACTAGGCGCACAGCTGGCGGGGCGGAGCCGCCGTCGTCACGGGCTTCGCCGCCACCGCGCGCGCCTCGCCGGCCTTCGCATTCCAGAGGAGTAACGTCATAGCCGCTGCAGACGCACTGGCGCCGCTGCGTGCTCAGCTGTGTGCCTCCGTTGCGCAGTAGCCAACTCTGGCGCTGCACCGGAGCTACTTGATAGTGCCTCTCATTTTGTGCGCATAAGCTCACGCTACGTATATCCTGGCATAGCCGAGCTAAGCCACCGCAATTTTTTTTAGGTCATCTATGAAGTGCTCAAGAAAATATTATTTTCTTTGTATTTTGCGTCCATTCCCCTTAGAAGTTTCTACTCTCTGTTGTGAGATTTATCCCCTGCCCGGGTTTCGAGGTATGAATTTGTTTCACTTTTTTCGAGCGTCGCACCCACGTCCAAGTTCGCAGGTTGTTTCGCTATCTTCAAGCGCCTCCGGGTAGTCGTGTTTCTTTTTGGTCTTTCGGATTTCCTTCTTTCCGGATCATCGTGAAGCGTAGAATAAACGCCAGCTGTGTGTAGGGATTTCTGTTTGTGCTTTTCTTCTTGTCCCTACAGTCCAGGGTGAAAGTAATTTATGTGTGGATATACTCATTTTTGTTTCTAAAGCGCAGCTCTTAGGCGCCCGTTTCCGGCTTGGGCGGCGTTGGCGTTGCCGTCGGCGTAAAGGCGAGGTGACGTGACCCCTCCAAGGTCACGTGACCCACCAAGGCCACCCCAAGGTCATGTGACACCCAAGGTCACGTGACTCCGCAAGTCACGTGACTCCCCTCCCCGAGGTCACGTGACCCCCCTCCCCGAGGTCAGGTGACCCCCCGGAGCATATTGAAGAATGAGGGGAGGAGGAGGAGAAGGAGGAGGAGGAGGGGGGTCTACCCTCCCCTCGGTACCCTTCCCTCCTGATCCTCAAGAGCTGCGCTCCAATTCGGCGTTACAGGGAGTTGTAAACGGCTTTCACTTTTTTTACTCACCCACTACTGTAAATCTCCATTAAAAGCTGACCATATCAGTAAAAAATAAAGAAATAATCGTCTATAAAGTGGAAAATATATCAAGGCTGGTAAATAAATCTACCATTAGATCTGACAAAACTATTAGGCTCTTTCAAACAATTTGTGTTAAAATTCGGAAAAGAGAAGAGATGAGCTGCCTCTCATATGAACAGGATTACCTGGTACTTCGGGTGTGTTTGCAGAACTAGGAGCCCAATGGTCCTGGCAATGTAGGATAACACATCGTAGTAAAAGCTTGGTGGCTGCGTGAACTCTTCCATGGCTTCTATCACGCGATCTCTCGGAATTATATAAGCCTGTAATGAGAGCAATCACTATAAGTGAACAACCTGAAAACCGAACCTACATTCCAGAACTGGGTCCGGAAATTTCATCGAACGTCGTTTCATCGAACACCGTTTCATCGAACACCGTTTCATCGAACACCGTTTCATCGAACACCGTTTCATCGAAGCCGTTTCATCGAACGCAGTTTTATCTAGCGTCGTTTCATGGAACGCCAATCTATCGAAGCCGTTTCTTCAAACGCCGCCTACTTGAGCAGTAGGACTATTTTTTTAGCGCGGAACGGATAGCAGTGTTTGAATATGTGTTATAACTTACAAACTTACACATATATAAAAGAAAGAAACCTTTTTTGTCAATTTCTGTTTTTTTTTTTTAGTAAATGATGACTTTTGGTAATGGGGCCAATAAGAAACGGGAACACTGACGAAACTTTTTAACGCTCTGATCAGCAGGTGCAGTGATCAACGCAGGTCCGACAGAACCATGGAACTGCCTGCCAGATATTCGACATACAGTATATATACTGCATGTCGAAGATCCGACATGTCCATGGTTCTGTCGGTTACAATAAAGTGACAAAGAGGGGAGACGCGACGTTTTTTAAGAACATATGATATATGTTCTTAAAAAGAAAACTATTCTTCTTGGAAAAAAAAAAGTTGTATCGACAAATACAAACAAACAGGCGCTGCGGAAAATAGCTGTTTCCCTCTTGAGAAAGTGCCTTTCACGCGTGAATAAACAGAGGGTTCAAGTGGGAAAGAAGTGTGTGACTGAGAACAGCCGCCTACCACGCCAGAGAAAAATAAGTCGCGTACCCACTCAAGTTTTGATTTGATAGCTACCTTCTATGATCCAGTAGCCAACATTTAGGTGGGCAAAAAATTGACAGGGTAGCAATTCTACCCGGTCAATTCTACCGCGTCAAGACTATTTCAAAAGCGATAGTAAATTATGGAAAAAGTATTGTATTACTCCAAACTTCAGTAAAAAGAAATTCCATAAAACGGTGTCGAATGATTCGATAAAACGGCGTTCGAAGAATCGGCGTTCGACGAATCGGCGTTCAATGAAATGTCCGTGACTATTCCAGAGCCATTACTGATAAAACATGATACAGTATGAACCACGTCTGAAATCGCTTTGGATATAATTTTAGTACACGCACAAAAAAAAAAAAAAAGACTTATGATCCTTCATTCAAAAGGGAATGCGCCACTCCAAAACAGTGGAGCGGGAAACGTAATCGCTGTTTTCGCCCTCAGCTAAAATAAGCAATAGCACTTCATCAGAGTGAGAATAAATATTTATTGTAAATGAAACATTTCTTCCGGCGCTCGAGGAGTAAATCTACCACTTCCCCAAAAACGTCGTAACCTGCCGTATGAGGAGTGGCAGTTGGTCGGTTAGTTGTCCTTTGGTGACAAGGCGTTCGCGAGCTCGGCAGTTTCGCGACGTTCGCGAGATGTCACCACTTGAGAGCGGATACCTCTCACGCTCTCATTACTTGACTTAACTTGACCAAAGTTTCGGCTCAACGCTCCCCCGAGAATCGTTGTCAAACACGTAGCTATGTCTTTTATTCTACTATGTTTCATTTGTAAATTACAACTATGGCCAAAGAATAAAATAAATCTTAGACGGAAAGGATGACGCGGTCGAGTAGCGCTTTTAAGTTGAAGCAACTGAAGAAGTTGAAGTAGTTGAAGTTTGAAACGTGGCAATATTTGACAGAAGTTACGTTCGAAGTAGGTGCACTGGTTGCGGTTCGAGCGCTGAAATCTTTTGAGCTTGATCGCTTGATACTCGAAGCGTGTCGGATTAGCTGACAAGTGACAATTTCGCAGTCTTTTCGCAGAGATACGAAGCCTGCATGTAAGAAAAATATCTCTCCGATTGCTCTTCTGGTTTTGGTTGTGTCAGTTTGGTTTTAGAGGCCAGGGGTAGCGCACGTAACGGCGGTTCTGCGTATCGGTGGCTTCGGCTGCCCTCGGTGCAAAGCGGCAAGCACACCTGCTTTAATTTGTATGCAATGGTGCTATTCACACTCTCTGTGGAAGCGAATTTTTGACACAATTTTTTCGTGCAATGCGGAAATTTTTACGTGTTTTTTGTTGCGGGGGGAGGCATTTAAGTTGAATTGCCACCGCCATGTCTGATCCGAGCATGAGCGAACGCAAGTACAGTGTTTCCGTGGTATTCTCAAAAAAACACGTGAAGACAGCTCGCAGCGACAGGGACTTTATTAAGGCTTGAGAATAAGTCTGGTAATGTTACAACTCTGTGCTTCAGTAGCAAGAAAACATCTGCTCAGCTTTTGGCAAAAAGCTTAAATATGTATTTTATATTTTAGAATAAGAAATAATTTAATTTTCATGGTTCTATAATAAGTGTAGCATTTTTCAATGTAAAAAGCGCAGTTTTCTCCCCCAAAAGTTTTGTCAATGCTTTTTACACAACGATGTTTGGTCGTTCATTTTTGGCCAAGCTCTGGTCGAGTCGCACAAATGCGGTGACGTCACATCGAAGTAGCCGGAATCGCATTGAATATTGTCCGCTCTTACTATTCAATTCTATTCCTTTGATGGCGCCGGAACCGATAAAATGGAAGGGGTTACAGGGCGGCCACGCCCCGTCTCCCAAGCGGAAGCGCCGCGTTTGATCCCCGAAGTTAGGACGCACCCAGGTCGGCACGCGCCACTTGAAGTCACCGGTGACACATGGTTATATAAAAATATTAGTTGTGCCGCAGAACCATGTACATCAAAATTGTATTCAAACGTCACCCTCCTGTTATTTTGTACTAATCTCAAACAATGTTCACCATCCCGTCAGTCTAAAAGGTGAACAGAATGTAGAAGGCGTCGGCACAGCGGGCAAAAAAGAGGCGGACGTACATTGACCTGCGTCTCGGCGATGACTCTGGTGATGGAGGGCTCGTCGGTGATGAGGCCGAGGTACCCCACGCAGGCCGGAGACGCTATGTAGTCCACGAAGTATCCCTCGTTGAAGAAGAACAGCGGCGACGTGGAGTTGGGCAGCGCCCCGTCGCCAAGGTCCTCGTAATCGCCCTCAATCTGAAGAAGAAAGAATTCAACTTAGAAGAACATTCAACTCCCCCATAAATGGTGTTTTAAGTGCTTGTGTATGAGATTTCTCAGAAAACAAACATGGCGCGATATTTAAATCGTGAACCTCATTTTGACTTCGGGCCAATTATGAAGCATGCTTATATGTAGGATCTACGTCACGATATTTAAGTATTGTTGGGAATATCTTCTTTCTCGGAAAGTTTTTTGAGAAAGAAATACAATAGGCGCACCTTATTCAGAAAGACTAGGGTCACAAGAACAAAGCGCAGATGATCAAGCATTGATATTTTGTCATTTTCACACACAATGACCCACTCGTACAGACTCTTCTCTCTGATGCAGTCATCTCCAAGCTGCTTTAGCATTACTTTATGCTTTTCCGGAGACGTAAGACTAACGACCCCAAAAAGTCAATTACTGCTGGGAGCTTCTCTATAGTGCCGACATATTGCCGCCCGCTCGGCCGAGAAAGCAACGCTCGGTCCCGGACTTGTAGAAGATTGGCGTTTATTATGGTTCCGGTTGTAACTTTAGTCCTACTTTCTTGTTCTCAAAAGTGCCAGTTCATCCTCGCCCCTCACCCCGAGCGCGCGACGCTCGAACCTTCTTTGCCGAACTTTCGAGATAGTGACGCACCATAGATAAGCAGTTGCCCGCGACCTTGTCAAGTCAGTCTCGTTCCCACTCTCTGTAACGCCGCCGAATCGTCGCCTGCTTTTCTGCTGCCTTGACGTTTTCCTTACTTATTTTGTTTGGCACATGTTCGCCCATTAAACCTTTGTTTTCAGTTCACTGTTCGTCTTCTCGACACCTTCATTGTTAACATTTCTGGTGGAGGTGCGGGATACCGCAGCCCATGAAGCAAACCACTCCGGTGACAACCAAAGTTTCGCAGCACAAGCCGAGTCCCCGGGTCCAGAAAACCTTCCGTGGAATCGACTGAGGCCCGAGAAAGCCGCTGTGTCCAAGGTTTGCCCTCGGAATTCGGTTCACTGCCGAAGAAGACCCACCAGTCACCCAAGCCATCAATCAGCAGCCAATCATCGCAGACCCCTGCCACCGCCCCCGTCGTCTACCTGCCCATTGCCCCTCGATCGTTGATGCCCTTCTATGGCGAACTCTATGAAGACGACGAGGACTGGATTCTACACTACGAGCGCGTGGCACGCCACAACGGATGGAACGCTGAGCAACTCCTCCATAACCTCTACTTCTCGCTGGAAGGTACCGCTAGGCACTGGTTCGAGAACCACAAGGCTTCGCTCACTTCGTGGGACATCTGCGCCACCGAGATGAAGCGAACCCTCTCGAGCCAACACCGGCGAAGTAAGGTGGAGGACCTGGTCCAGACGCGGACTCAAGCACCCAACGAAAGCGTGAACAGCTTCGTTGAAGATGTGCTTCGACTGTGTACACGCGCCAACCCGCCAGCCACCGAGAAGAAGCGTCAAGAGCGAAATCTTCGGAGGTCTTGTCCGCAGCCCCCCTTCCCCCCCCGACAAATGAAGGCTTCGTTGCCAGGTGACCAACATTAAAAGAGCACTGGAGCCTTAGGGCGCCACTACCACCGAATCGACGACGCCTCAATCCTCACACTGCCGCCGCACGCCGAGCTGAGGGTACGTTATACGCAAAGAGCTCTGAAAGCTGCTCCCCACCGCCGAGCGCGCGGCCTCGCTGTCAGTCGCTGAGATTGCAAGCAAACGAGGTACAGCTGGGTGATTTCAGATAAGATCGACCAAAGGGTGGCTGGTCGACATTTTTAAATCAACTGATGTTTTTATATGACATTCTCTAGTGTCTGGTATAAACGAATCCACACTTAGTTTTGACCAGAAAACAAATTTGGAGACGAGAAAAATCGTAAGGCAGGGAGAGGTGGACAGTTGCAATAACGCGCAGTGATGGAGGGGGCAAGTTTGAAAGTGAATAATTAAAACAATAAAACTAGGAGAATTTTAAAACTTTTTACAAACAAACTATGGGTACAACTTGCTTGTAATATCAAGTAATAATATTTATTAAAAATTTATTTAGTTTTCTAAAAATTGCCAAACATGCCTGCTCGAACGACAAATGGCAAATTTTGGAAATCTGTATCTCATGAAATAATTTAATCATTATTACATAACTTGCAGAAATTATTTTACTAATATATGGCTATTATTGAAAAAATAAATAAGGTATCTGAGTGACGAAATAGTTACAATATATTTAGGCAAACATGGGAAAAAAATCAAACAAAGAAAAATTCCAATGCGAATAAAAAAAAAAACACCACCTTCGATTTTTTTTAAATTTGGGTACCCTGTTATACTCTATTTCCGCATTCATTTCTATTAAAAACATGTTGCATCATTGCACTGTGAAAGAAGAAACAACTCCCCAAAGTAGGGTCCTTTTTCAAAGCCTACACTTAGAAGTGTCCTATACAAGAAGTGACTCTGAGTTCCAGTTTCATGAAACTTGCACAAATCTTTTATATACATTTATTCAGATGAGGTCATTGATAAAAAGAGCGATCGGTCACACAGTAAAAGGGAGGAGAAACTATATACAGCATTTTACATAAGCGTACAAAGTGGTATCATATTAGAGACTAATGATTTGAGAAAAGATGATGCAGTGTGAAGTTGTACCTTCCGGTATATTTTACATCTAGAGTAAAATAAATAACTTTACTTCCACACACAAAAACAAAGATATAATAGTAAGATATTTAGGTTGGCTGTGTATTTACGATTACAAACAATTTCAGGTGACGGATGCCATAGTGCCTAACTGGAGCAGCTTCGATGCTCTCGGTGTATGAATGAATCGTGGCAAGCCGATATATTTTATTTTGCTCGAGGATAACATTTTGGGATTTTTTTTATAGTGGTCAGATAAAAATTATTAGTAACCGCCAACAAAAACAGTAGGTTAAATACCCCGTGAAGAAAAATGTGATAAATAAGATGTCCCTGCATTCAAAATGAGCAGTCTTTGGGAAATCAAATTCGGCACTTTACGCTAAGGTTTTCCTCGCTGTACCCATTTAATAAAGTTGCTTCCAAGCAGATCCGACTGTCCGTGCTACATATACGTCACAGGTCCCTTCTGTTGATGACTTGCTGAGCCGCCACGCGTGCCAAGACTGAATGCCAGGGAAGGCGCGCACCGTCAGCCACTCTCCTTTTTTTTGTTCACGATACCGAACAACCTCATTTTCGTCCAGATATACAAGATGCACGCCTTTCAGTTTCTTTGATAAAACGCTCACCATTGTCCTGGCCGTCTGAATTGCGCTTACTGAACGTTCTCTCAGGTTGTTCAGCGTGGCCTGGTGCTTCACGAGTCCGCCAACTCCGTCCCATGCATTTTTCCCATGTCCAGATGCGGAAAATAACCACTGGGCTTGTGGGCAATCGTCCTTTGCAAATTAATGAAGCTGGTAGCGATTCTTGAAATGACTGGCGGCGCCGTCACTTACGTACGTCACGTACGAGTATACCGCAACGTTGTCTTCAACCCACTCCTTCACTTTTTCTAGAGCCAAGCAAGCGTGAGCGGCGTCGTGACACAGGTCCTCACTGATGATGGCAAAGCTGTTTGTAGATTTTCTTGTCGTCACTACACATGTAAATATCGAAACTTGTTTTTTTTCCAGTGATATGCTTGCACTTCGTCAGGAAGCACGATGGTCCAGTTTTCAGCAAAGTCAAAAAGAAAGACAATGCTCCCGCGTTGCATGCACTGTTTTTCATCGTAGATCGCTTTACCTTGCGTTTGCCGGATATGGTTGTGAAGTACCCAACTTCCAACCGTCACTTGGATGACTTTTAGGAAAGTCTCAGGTTCCAAAGTTTTTTTCACAAGGTCGCCGGACTCCCATGTTGCAAGCACAATCTCTTCATCCTCCGGGATATCAAGTTCCTGGAGTGTAAGAAACTGGCCTTTTGGGCAGTGGTCACAGTCTCCTTGAAGGCACCGTCCTGTCGCTCGGTCGCACAGAAATGCCGAGTTAATTTCACCAGTGTTGAATGTTGAGCCTGTAACGTTTTCTAGAGCGGCAATACAAAGGTAATAATCGACTCAGCACACACAAACGGACACTTCCTGGCGTGGAATACAATGAACCCACCTAGGGCGCGATGAATAAAATTTCGTTAGCCCAACGCCGGAATCGGGATGCTTGTCTTTGTATATACGGAAGGCCTCTCGTATTGAGCGTGTCATGAAGCGCTTTGGCACGAACGTTTTCTCTCCGTTGAGCATGACAGAGATGACGTCCTTCTGGTTGGGACTTTGGCGCGAACATTGTAGCTCGTCTTTCGTGAAGTACTCTAGGGCAGCAAACAGGTTCTCAGGGCTCACCTTGCACCTCGTGTAAGGATCCGGCTCATACCACACGCCATGCTTTTCCTTGAGTTTTCGGGATTTACTGATGAGGTACATTGAGGCCTGTGGAATCATCTTTTGAACCTCATTCTTCGTCAGTGTTGACGGCAGGAGTGTAAGCAGTTGACAACGTTCCCGGAGAGAGGTGGCGGTTTTAAAGGCCTGCCGAAAGTTGTCCACCCACTCAGTGCATGTGGAGCATGTTGGTCCGGACGACCCCGATGGTGCGTCCCTGTCGTACGCAATACGTAGCCTTGAGCGCATATTCTTGACAGCAACCTGCTCCAGTTCTGTCTGCTTTCTCTTGACATAGGCAGGCCTGTCCCGACTTCTTACGACGCTAGGTTGTCTCAGCGGCGACACATCTGTAGGTAGTATGGTGCGATTTAGATCTTCAATTGCTTCTTCAGCTGGCACAAATATGTCAGGGCACTGCTCTGAGCTTCGCATCGAGATCTCCTTAGTGATGTGCATGAAGCAATGGTAGCACAGGTAGTCCGTCGCACTCACTTTGGTGGAACAGTCAGGCGGAAGAATTTGCTTCAACGAGTTTAGGTCCAATTCGCCAACACTTCGAAAATTCCGCTGCTTTGGTATAGTCTTTT